AAATATGGGTTATGTCAGTTGGCCAGGACAGTGAGCTCACTTCTTTGCACTTAAGTTCGAAACTATTCCTCCCCATAAATTAAATTAATTTAATATTACCTCTTGTATAAAAAAATAAAAAATAAAAATCAGATGGGCTACGAATCTATAGTACCTAGTACATTATTCTCGATATTTTGACAATATTTTGTGGACAAACATGTGATTAATACTTAGTAATTAATATCACCTAAATATCGACAATTAATGTTGTATTGTAAATGTTGAAGAATATGAGTCTCACATCGGAAATTTGACTAAATAAAATACAAAATATAATGAATGGTTTCACTACTAATACAATCGAGGCCTTTTGTAATAAAACCTCACACGTATTGGGCTTTGTAGGTGGATAAGTTGGGGACAATATCGATGTTTTTAGTAGTGGGCCGATGACCCGTCTCTATGAAATTTAACATGGTATCATAGCGGGTTTATTGATAGGGCCTGAATTATTGGGCCTTTACCCTTACCTCTTACTCAGCATGTGGTATTCATATGTTGGGCTTGAATGTTTACCCTTACTCCTTACTCAATACATGATGTTCACGCGTGGCCCACTATATGGTAGTCCCACATGACGGGGCGTGTTGAAGAATATGAGTCCCTCATCGGAAACTTGACTAAATAAAATACAAAATATAATGAATGGTTCCACTACTAATATAACCAAGGCCTTTGTGATACAACCTCATACTTACTGGGCTTTGTAGGTAGCTAAGTTGGGGACAATATCGATATTGCCAGTAGTGAGCCAATCACCCATCTCTCTAAAATTTAACAGCAGATTGATATTCGATACTAGCCATTCATTGTCCATTCCATCAATATCATGTTCAATTTTCCTTTTTTTAAGAAAACCCCAGTTTATCATTTGTCACTGCCTTAATTTGCAGTCTGTGATACCACTATGGAAGCAACTGGAGTACTACAGGGAATACCAGAACAAACTGAGACTTTATCTTGGAGGAAACAAAGCAAATGAAACAATCAATGGAGCTTTGCACATTATGAGCTTAGGCACCAATGACTTCCTGGAAAACTACTACTCATACCCCGGCCGGTCATCCCAATACTCTATCCAACAGTACCAAGATCTTCTCATTGGAATTGCAGGAAATTTCATCAAGCAACTCTACAATCTCGGAGCTCGGAAAATCTCCCTGGCAGGTCTGCCTCCAATGGGGTGCTTGCCATTGGAGAGAACCACAAACTTCATGGGTGGAAATGACTGCATTGCAGATTACAACAATGTGGCTCTGGAGTTCAATGGCAAGTTGAATGGCTTGACCATAAACCTCAACAAAGAGCTTCCTGGTCTCAAACTTGTGTTTTCAAACCCATATTACATTTTCCTGCAGATGATAAGAAGACCTTCTTTGTATGGTAAGCCAGTGACTTGTATTAAATGTGCTCTGTTGCAAATGTTTGACCCAACCACTACACAAAAACTTTAGAACACCATATTTCTCACTTTAGCATTTAAGCATTCACATTCTTTTGGGTGGTGGATATCATGTGATTTTTATTTGTAGTTTTTTCCCCCCGGTTTAAGCTAGAGAATTTGTACACGTGTTAAACTGTGATTTGTTTGATTAAATTCTCGTGTGACTGACAGGATTTGAGGTGACATCAGTGGCTTGCTGTGCCACAGGGATGTTTGAAATGGGGTACGCATGCAATCGAAACAACATGTTCACCTGCACAGATGCAAGCAAATATATATTCTGGGATTCATTTCATCCAACGGAGAAAGCAAACCATATCATCTCTGATTATGTGGTGAAAAATGTACTGGCCCAGTTTCTTTGATTCTCTTTAATTTCAAGACCAATGTATGTGTCCTATGTTTTAGTGTCATTACATATAGTACATTAAGAAATTAAGCCTAATGTTGGTAGAAAAATATGATTTTGGCACTTGGCAGAAAAATGGCATAAAGCCTGTGAACCTTTTGATCAAATTGGTGCCTGGGATATCAGTACTTACTTGTACCCATTTCTTAGTAATCTCAGACTTTTCATTATATAAATTGTTTTTCCCCCCCACATTTGTGTACCCTACAGACAACAGCAGGAACATGCTATGTGGAAGTACGTTGTTGTGGCAGGGTTGGCTATGAATTTAAGTAATTTTGAATTAAGTACTTGATATTTGAAGGACCAGGACCTAGTTAGGCAACTTGAACTAGGACAATGCCCAGACAAGGGTGGACCACACTCGGCTTCACATAATAAGGCAACTATTTATGACACTCAGCTCTATTTTATTCATCTCTCGTTATTTAAGGATTTTTTTTTTATATTTCTTTACAAAATAAAGGTAAGGTGTTCGATGAAATGCCTATAAAAAAATGAAGTGGCCGTATAATAATATTTTTCGGTCTCCTGTGTTTGTAGACGGAATTTGGAATATAAGTTTCATATTACAAGTTAAATAATGCCAAGACAAACTGAGTGATCAGATTCATAATCATCAATGATGATGTATTGGTTATGTCTAAATTTGATGATCATCAATAATTTGGAAGTTTATGTTCATCCATGGCTTTCTCTTGAAACAGAAAGGTGGGGAAGGACGATAAAATCCCAATGTTCCATATTATGCATGAGCCTCTCCTAGCAAGCTCTAGAAACGTCCAATTGAACATCAAAATTATCTAAGTACGTACCCCACCTTTGTTTTATTGCTTCTGGACTTGCCGAATATTTTGACAAAGGATATCAATAATAATTTATGATATCCCACCACCACGGTTAATTGTAATAATTTATTTGCTCGAGTTTAGGTCAAAATTCCATATTTTAGAAAACTTTTATCTTTTTTTAATGGAGACGGCTTTATCGAGGACTCTTTATTACTTAGCAATGAAGTAACATGACTTGCACATTAAATTTTAGGGAGATTCACTATTATATCCAAAATAGGAGCCCAAATTATTTTTTAAAAAAAATTTATATGAAATGGACTTTAAAAACACACTCAAAACCCATTTACAACATAACAAAAAAGCTTTTAACTTCTTTTAAATTACAAAACTGCTATTGATTTCTTAAAACAAACGTAACCCCAAAACTTCATAAAAAAGCCCAAAACACTCAATATGGCATCAAAGCAATTTAATAATCAAAATTAAATTCAATAGGGTCAGCTGTCATTTTTTAGGTTTGTTTATAGAAATTAAATGGTGTAGGGTTTATTTATAGTTTTAGTGCTAATAATGGGTATATGACTAAATATCTCTAAATTTTAATTATGCTACAGTTACTTGTGCATGCTCGCGCATATAATTTTTAATTGTGAAATTGTTCCGTCAAGATGAAGCGCATATTTAACATGTGAATAGGTTATACAACATGAATGTACTTCAATACCATATAATAATTTATGAATAATATTAATCTTACCATATTTTTATACCATAATTTTATACCACATGATATGGCAGTTAATGTGTACATACCATATCATGTAAAATACTAGTTTTTGTTTTTCTAATTTTATTTATTAAAATACACTTCATTTATTTAATTGATGTGACATATGATATGGACATGCCACATCATGTGGTATCGAAATATGGGATAAAAATGTGGTAAGATTAGTACTATGAGTCCAATTTTCCTGTTATCTCATTAGTTTTGTGACATGTGTCTCTTTACTTAACATAATGTTAACTTTGTTAATTTCCTTAATTTTTTATTAATATTAATAACAACAATAAGGAAATTAAGGAGAAAAAAAAGAGGGTGATTCACTATTATACCCAATATAGGAGCCCAAATTATAAAATTAAAAAAAACCCTATATGAAATGGAATTTAGAAGCACACCCAAAGTCCATTTACAACATAACAAAAAAGCTTTTAACCTCATAAAAAAGCTCAAAACACTCAATAGAGTATCAAAGTAATTTAATAATCATAATTAAATTATATAGGGTCAGCCGTCATTTGTTGAGGTTTTTTTTGGGTTTGTTTATAGAAACTAAATGGTGTAGGATTTATCTATGTTGTTAGTGCTAAGAATGGGTATATGACTAAATATTTCAACAACAAAAAAGTCTAATCCTCATATCCTCATTTTTTTGGTCTAAAACACACCCCCACCCGGCGCTGCCTTCTACACTCCATATCCTCTACCACAGCCAACACTCTTCCGTGCTTTAGTAATTTTCCCTATATTTTCCATGTGATTCCTCAAAGAATCGTTGCAAATTTTGACACGCCTTCAACATCGATGAACCCATCCGAAATTCACAAGCTTTTTTTTCAATTAATCAAATCAGAACGTCATTAAGTCAAGGCGACTGTAAATGCATTCGTTGATCTCTGACCACCGCACATCAACTGGTAATGCCACCTACACCAATGGCATCAGGAGGCTCCAATCTATGGAACCTAGTTGAAACCGCTCTCATTCATCGCCTGAAAGTTATCGAAAGGATCTTCGCCAGATTTGCCATCTATCATTGGTGACCCTTCGAGCTTCTACTCCATTTGTCAACACCAGCAACAGAACCTCTGATGTACAAAACCCATTAGCCTTGAATTGTTTTTGTCATCCCTTCATCTTCTCATCGCTCTATTATGAAGACAGCCTCTCCATAAAGAAAACCTCTAAAATATTGTATTGATATTTTTATTATTAATATTAATAAAAATTAGGGAAATTAATAGAGTTTATTTTTTGTTAAGTAAAGGAACACGTGTCACAAAATTAAAAAGAATATAAGAAGGCACAAGGAATTTGGTAATAGGGAAATTGAACTCGAATATTGTATACAATGTGGTATAAAAATTTGATATACTTGGCATTTTCCTATTCCTAATAAAAGTGGAGCCTACCAATACAATGGACTCACCTATATTAAAGAGGTGATTCACAATGTATTAACCCTAGCATTATCCTTTCTCTAGATGGGCCCACTATGAAGCTAGTATTATACTATTTCTCACCGTGAGCTCCTAAACTTGACTTCCTTATTTCCCACGAAACAAGTCCAAAGAGGTATAAAACGTGAAAACAGAGCCCAGCCTTCAAAGTTGAACGAAATCATTTTATTTTTTCTGTAACCAAAAAATCAGAGCCTCCGTTGGCAGAAGAAGAAAGAAAAACCCCACAACATCAACAGCCGCCATGAAAAAGCTCTACAACAAGAAAGGCAAAGTCCACCCATCTCCATCGACGCCCTCCATAGCCGATCCTCTGGCTCTGCTCCCCGCAGCCATTCTCACCCTAACCGCAGCCCTCTGTGACGAAGACAAGCAGGTCCTCGCCTACCTCATCTCCTGCACCAACAACAACAACAACAACTCAGGCAGCAAAATCTGCACAACCCACGAGCCCAACAGAAGAGGCGGCGAGGCTGGTGGTCCCCACCTGCACCCTCCTCTGTTCCAGTGCGACTGCTTCAGGTGCTACACGAGCTTTTGGGCGCGCTGGGATGCTTCGCCCAATCGCCAGCTGATACATGAGATCATAGAGGCTTATGAGGAGAGGCTGGTGGAGAAGAAGAAGGTGAGGAGCTCAAAGGTGAGGAAGGCAGAGAGAAGGAAGATGAACAAAGTTGGTGATGATGAATTAATTAAAGGCAGCAGGGGAGATGGTCACATGGGTTCTGGGGAATTAGGGCAAGTGATGATGAAGGAGGTGGAGGTGGGCCCAGATGTTGTTGTTGTTGAAATGGACGGTGGTGATTGCTCTGGTAATGATGAAGGCTGTGAAGTTGGGATGGAGAAGGGGACCATGAGGAGGCTTGTGAGTTTCATTGGGGACAGGATTTGGGGTGTTTGGAATAGGGCTTAGTTCTGTCCTCAACACAGATAAGTTCCTAATTACCAAATTATTTTCCTGTTTCAATTTTATTTTTTTAATCCCTTTTTGTAAATTACCCATCTGTTGTTAATTTGGGTTTTGCTTTTAGTTGTTGTATTTTTTTCCAAGATGGTTTTACTAAATTGGATATAAGTTCCAATCTGGTGCTGAATTTTGGATTATTGGGAGGGGGTTCCTCTTGTAAATTATCTGTGTTTTGCTTCATTTGTGAGATTGATAATGTTTGATTCATCTGCAATAACATTTTTGCAGCATTTATCTTTCTGCATTGAGGTCACTATGTTTTACTCTATGTTCTGCTTAATTTGGGAGATTTTTTATTTATTTTATTTATTTTTAAGAATATTGCAAGCTGCAGCCATAGTCATAAGTAGCAGATATATCAATGCTTTGTTATTCCGACCAATCATAGAATGCCAGGTGACAAAGTTATCAAGCGTGGCATATCGTGATTGGTCGGATATAGCAAAATAATGTTATCATCTTTCATGTAAGTATTTCTCCATAAATAGACTGTGTTTTAATTTAATAAAATTATCATTAATTTGAAGTTTTTTAAGTCATAAAATAGTTTGATTGTAACTGGGTTGAGGTGGAAATGGTCAAAGGTCAATAATCATCAGCGTTGAATCGAGATATTCTAATTCTACGTTTGAAAATGCCAATTTTCTTGGACCATCCATGGTCCAATAAGGTTGTTTCCTCTAATGTTCTTTCTTCTCTCTCTCTCTCTCTCTTTTAAGTGTGATCAAAATTAATCAAAATGGAAATTAAATTGATGAGAGAAAAGGAGGGGATCTTTCATGGTTATTTCTGCATTACTGCTTGGCAAGGAAGAGAATATGCTGTTTTGTATCGACATGTGAATTAGTCTAAGTTTTAGTTAGACTTTTGTTTTTGTCAAATCTATAATGATCTGTTTTTTCAGGCGTGCTGCTCATTGCACCTATTTAGTAATGCCCTTGTAACTATTAAACTAATAAATAAAAGTTCAACTTTCATAACCGGGCACGAACATAAACCATTAACATTGCGGTGGGCTTAGTCTTTTAGGTGTGGAGTTTTGGTGATTGGACTGAGTTTGGAATTAGGTTGTTTTTATGAGAGAGATCTGTTAATTTGGGTCGGATTAGAGCACAACAAAGAGTAGTGAGTTTGGGTTAATCGTTACTTAGACACGGATATACGAAAATGATTCGAACCCCTAAACACGAAGGATAAACAAATTGAGTTAGTGTCAAATTTAGGGCTCGTTTGGGAGTGATTTTGGATAGGTTAGAATCACTTCTGAGAAGAAGCACCTCTCACGTGCTTCTCCATATAATCACTTTAAGTGATTATGGGAAGAAGCAGCTCTCATGTGCTTCTCCATAAAATTAGTTAAAATCACTTAAAGTGATTATATGGAGAAGTGATTCTCCATAGAAGTGCTTTTTGGCCTATCCAGAATCACTCTCAAACAAGCCCTTAGTAACTTAATTTTGACACGTTAAACTATTACATAGAGAATATTATTCATCATTTCAATAACTAGTCTATTATACTGTACGAGAAATGTATAATTGTAAGAGTACTTTTTATTGTTTTTTATGTTTTCATAATTAAGTGAAATTTTGTTTGATAACTAATGTATAAATTATAATAGTTATAGGTTTAATAAGAATAATAGAAATTTACTTTTGAAATTCTTAGCTTGGGGTCAATTCGAATACGAAATGATCATAACTAGTTTAGGTTAACTTTGACACATTCAACATGATCACTTAATGGACGCAATTAAGATTGTCTACTTTTGAAAACAAACACGAACATGAAAGGACACAATATGATATGAATATAACTCTTTAACACGAAGTGTCACCCCGTTAAATACAACCCATTTGACCCCTCAATTGGTCATCGATGGTCCCGGAAATTTAGTAAAGCAAAACCCTCGCTGCCTCAACATCAGATGTTGCATGGTTTGAGCATCCACAGTGGGGGGGTGTATATTAAATATACACCCATTGTGATCGGAATCACCCACAATGGAGGGGTGTATATGAATGTATAATTACATCACAACCTTGGAGATGTATATTTAGATGCAATTGTACATCTTTTTTTACATCTCTTGCAGGTGGGACCCCACTGCAAAAAGGAGAGGAAAAATGGAGAAAAGTGGCTTTACACCCCTGAAAATACACCCCCCCATTGGAGCAAAAAGCGTATTTACACCCCCCGGAGGTGTAATGAGGATGTAAAAGTGGCTTTACACCCCAAAAAATACACCCCCCACTGTGGATGCTCTTACGAAGATGAAATGGGGATCATCTTGTGGCTAATTAAGCTTGACTAAAACAGTTGAACTTGACAAATGTAAGTCAAAACAAACCTAAACACACTCAACATGACTTGGGTCATTTTCACGCAACGTATGCCGTCCTCTATCCGCACCACATTCTTAATCCATGACTAAGCATGCTTGTTAAAAAGAC